CACCGCAGTTCGCATATCTCAGAAGGTCTCAGGTAGGCGTCTACTTGGATAGCCAGGGCGACGGCAGCCTCGGTGTGTTTGTCCCTCAGGAAGACACTCATGAACAAATAGAAGACTGAGAGCGGCCACGGATGTCGTGAGGAGCCAGGGAACCTGCGGACCCAGCCCTTCATCGCCTCACGAGCCATCGAGAGGCGGGCGGACTTGGCGATGTCCGACCGTGGGAAGAAAGTTAGATACCCCCAGAGGGTGTACCGTCCCTCAGCGGCATGTCGAGCATGACTCATGAGAACATCAAAGTACTTGCACATTTTCTGATCGATAACGGACTCTGGAGCTTGTCTGAGGTCATCTGAGCGCGTCGCCCAGTCGAAAAACTCACGAACTGCAGTCCCATATCGCTCCAGCGACGTCAAGGTGATCGAGCCGAAACGGGCAACACCTCCATCCACAGGGACGGGCGCCGTCGGCCCGAAGCACAGGCTGCGGCCCTTAATCGCCTCCACGAAACTAGAGACGCGGGAGCGGCGGCCAGCGACCTTTCGGGCCTTTCCTCGAGCGGGCTGCCTGCTTCCTTGCTGCTTCGAGGTTGGAATCCTGACCGAAGATGATGAAAGGCCGCAGGTGGTCAAACCTGCTCTCGAGGTCGGCTGAGTCGACGGCGCCAGCGAGCCCGAGGTCAGGCTCCGCTTGAAGCCGCTACCGAGCTGGTCGGAGGCGCTCCCGGGCACGCGAAGCCGGCCGTCGCGCAGCATCGCGAAGCCGGGCCTCCAGGTCCCCGCCGTCAGCCGGGTCTGAGCCGCCTCGGGCCCGCGCAGGCGCTGACATGCCCGCGGCCAGGGCCCATGCCTGGCAAAGACTGCGGGGGTAGGCTCCAGCACCTGCCGTACGATTGCGAGAAACACGAGCCCCAGATGGCAACGTCACGGTCTCGAAACCCCTGAGCTCAATATGTGAATGATCTCTGGAGCACACCGAAGCTAAAGAACTCAGGGCTGAAAGGTTAGTGAGAATAGCTGTCGGCTTCATGTGGGAGGCACCGTAACTACAGTGCACCAAACACACGCGAACAACGTCAGGAAGGTCAGTGAGCTCTCGAACGGGGTCGAAGTCCCAAAGTCTGGAGGATCTCGGGTTCTCAATGCTCCAGAAGACGCCGTTCCGCGAACACTCATAAGCAACACGGCAGCTGAACAACGCCAGAGCTACACCCACACGCTCCTTGCACGCGGCTTTCTCATAGTTGGCGATGCCATGACGAGCCCGAGACCACACACAACAAGGTGTCCCAAGATGTACATACCAGAAGCGCCCCTTTCGGATATCCTCTAGGATGATGTTCTGGACCTTCGGGCCCAGGAGGTCATAGTGAGCCCCATCTTTGATGCCCATGCAGGGGTAAGTAGACAGGCCGAGCTCCTCGAACGCCTTGGAGAGCCCACCCTCGCCCGAGAACAGCCCCAAGAAACCCTGGCCCTGTTGGGCCCGTCTCCGAAGTTGAGCGCGCCCAAGACGTAGAGGGGGACAGGCGGTCCGACTGGTCACCGAAGGCGTCGAAGTAGAAGGCGGACAGGACACTCGACGTAGAGAGGCTTCGATTTCCTCGGGAGGCTGCAAACCCAGATGCTTGTCGCTCTCGGCCGCGGCGGGCGAATGCCCTGCGAGACCGAGTCCAGGAGGCAGGCTGCCCGCCTTGACTACAACGTTCAAAGAGGAGTAAGGGAGAGAAGATGATGTCATGTCAGCCGAACTCTGTTTGTTGTATCCTTTGTCGGGAGAGTTGTGTTCGAACCGACGAGATGGAGCGTCGGCCACGTTAAACTTCGTGTTGACATACCGCAGCCTCCAACGCACTCTACAACCGATTGCGTAGGCCGCAGCTCGCCGGCATTGTGCGTTCAGAGCTGCTGAGCGGCTGGACCGCCTCTTGTCCAGGCAGCCAACACATACCATGGAGTCCACGAGAGAAACTAAGCGGCGTCCGCAATTCTGGCGAACGCAACAGGCATGCCGCAGCCCCATCACTGCAGCGCGGGTCTCCTTCACGTTGATGTGCTCTCCAGGCCAGCGCCAGCGCCTCGCTGCCACCAGCTCGAAGCCCTCCGAGTCGAACCAGGAGGCGGGCAGCGGCGGCGCCAGGGGGCCAACCTGACCGAGGCACTCGGCGTCGGGATCGTCAGGGTCGGCAGGGCGCCGCCGCAGACGGCGAGGGCGAGGCCGACGAGGTCCGTCGAGGGCAGAGCCCTCCTCGGCCTTGCTCTGCAGCCACTGGCCGAAGGCCGTGGCAGGGGCGGAGCCCGCGTTCGGTTCGGCGGAGCGGCAGCGGGGCTCCACCTCGTGATCCGGCTGCGTCTCGTCTGCCTCCCTGTAGACGCCCATCTCAGCGACATCGGCGGCCGAAGTCAGACCAACACGGGGGCCTCGGAGGTGCTGCCTGAAGTTCCACTTCTCCTTCCAGCGGAAGGCCGACTGCATCTCCTCGACCGTGGCCTTCTTGTACATCAGGCCGTACCCGTTGTCGGCGGAGTCGCTGGCGTAGACGCGTGGCACGTGGGGCGCCGCCAGGTCGACCTCAGCGAGCCAGACCAGCCCAGCGACCAACCTCATCTCGCGCATGACCTCGCGCGGCAGAGGGGTCCGAACGCCCCAGGCGGTCTCGGCGAACCGGTACGTGGCTGAAAGCGCGGCGTACCCGGGCCTGGCCAGCATCAGCAGTGATACAGCGTGGCCCAGCCAGACCTCCATGTGCTCTCCTCGCATCTTGCCACGACGCAGGAGAGCGCGGGTGGCCAAGTCAAAACGCCACACTCGGGAGGCCTTGTTGCCAAGCTTTCCCTTCCTGAGGTCGATCTCAACACCCACGGTCTCGAGGTGGGTCACCACATCGGGGTAGGACCACGTGATAGGCAAACCAGAACGGTCAGCTTCGGCCTGCAGGGCGGAGCTCGCCTCACGAGCCAGAGAGGCGTCCCTGCCGAAGACGGTGATGTTGTCCACGTAGACGCTCCCCATGACCTTAGACTCATTTAAGTCAGGGGCGGGATGGTGCTCCTTCACCATGGCAGGCGTCGGTAGAGACGACGAACGCAGCGCCCGCTCTGTCATAGCGGATACAGCCTCCTGCGCAAAGTACAGAGCCCAGGACCACCCCATGCACATAGCGCGCATGCACGGGTACAAGACCATGTCGTCCTCCACGGAGACCATCGCGTTCAGCTCGGGGTCCCAGAACGCCCCGACGTTGATGCCGCACGTAGCCCTGATCTCGGCGGCGGGCAGCGGGTCGTCGAAACCGAACCACTCCGCCAAGCCATCGATGGCGAAGTTGTAGAAGCAGTCCTCGACATCGGCCTCGTTCCCGCGGGGGCCCCAGCCTATCACACTGCCGACACCGTCGACGGACTCGCCACCCACGGAGAGGTCGAGGTCCGCAAGGGCCCCAGCTGAGCCGAGTCTTGAAATCGGAGGGGCACGATGACACGAATTGGCCTGTCTGGTATCCACAACCATTATAATCTCACCTGGTTGCTTTTTCTTCACAAAGAAGAGGGCAGCACGAGCCCGAAGACGACGCCTGAAAGTTATCAGCCCTAGCTCATACAACACCCTGAAGAGTCGCCAACGCTCTGTCCGACTCGAGCGAAGCACAGGATCCCAGTAAGGACGAATAGGATCGGCGTGCTGACGCGTGAACTCCATATCCTCCTCATCCTTCTCGATGTACAGTGCAGGGTTGCGGATCATGTCCGCGGGCAAAGGCGGCAAGAAGTTAGCCACAGAGCGAGGTCGGGCGCGCCCCTTTGCGACCTTGAGCTTTGTCAGATCGAACGGCGCGAAGTTCTTCGGCTCCTGACAGTACAGGTCCTTAGAAGCCAGCAACTCGCGAGCAGCCCCCTCGGCCGTCAGGCCAGGCGGGGGGGGCCCCACAGCGGCAACGCGCTCCGTGATGCTGTCCAAGATCCATTCCTGAACGGCAGTTGGGGCCCGAGATGACCGGCGAGCCTGGCAAACACTATCTGAATTCGGTTGAGCAGCAGCGAGATGGTTGAGCGAAGCCCGCGCCGAGAGCACTCGCTGTCGCTGCTCGGAGCCCAAGCCCGAGCTGTCGAGCTGAGAGGGCAAAAAATGCGGCAGAGGGAAAGGGTCCCCGTGCCTCCGTCTCGAGGGCCTCCACCGGGTAGCATGTCCCCGATCCGTAGCAGGAGCGTCGGGCCGAGCTCGGGGATCGGACTCGGCCCGGAAGGCCGCGGCCACCCCGGGGCCTCCTCCTCGCCCTTGCCCCCCTTCTCACCTCGGCCGCGCCCGCGACCGCGACCTCGCCCTCGGCCTGAGTCTGCAGGGGCGCGAGAGTTCTGCATGGCCCGCTGCTCCTCGTTCCACAACCGAGTCTGCTTGTAGATCGCGGCCTGTTCCTTGAGACGGCCCGTGACCCACTCCGTGAACTTGTTCGTGCTCGCCTGGCCCTGCTCGGTGGTCGGAGCGCGAAGCAAAATCTCCAACCCACCGTAGTCAGGATGGCGAGGGTTACGAGCCACCGCGGTCTCATCCTGGCAGATCCTGCGCATGATGAGTTCGAAGCTCAACAAGTTGGTCACGTCGAGCTGGTCTGTCTGAATGGCCAGCCGAACTGACTCGCACAGCACGTAATGAATGTGGGCCACCGCCGAGGATTCGCTGACTCCCGAACGGCGAACCTACTGTCCGTGATAAGGAGAAAGATCTCCAGGGCCATCCCGAACTGAAACGAGCCACTCCTTGGCAACCCGTGGTCCAGGCATGGCCCAATCGTCGAAGCTCGTCTCGCGCATCAGGGATATGGCGTCTGAAAGCGGCAGATGACGACGGCCTGCGGAGTCCCGATGGTCACCCAAAGTGCGTAGGTCTCCACCCTCCGAGCTACGTGAGGTCATCCACTCTTGCAGCTGGTTGCTCTGAACCTTCTCTATGAACACTTCGAAGCCACTCACCAACGCCACGCCCTTGGACTGCCCCAAGGAAGCCTGGTCCAACTCTGCATCGACCAGGGGTTGGGCAAACCGTGAGTGACCTACCTCTGCGACGACCCAAACGTAGTTCTCCATCTCAACGTCATGGTCGCCATCGCCCAAGATTGCTGCCTGAACTGCAGCTTGCCTCTTCAGAGCCAGAATCTCAGCTCGAGGCGCCGGGTCGAAGCCATACACCTCGCCCCGACGATTCGCAGGGAACATCGAATTGCGTTCCAGGACGAGGTGGCGCTGCTCTAGAAGATTGTGACGCACAAGCTCTAAGTCGGGGGTGATCGCAATCCATACCCCCGCTGTGATCTTCTTCACTAGAATACGGTGATGCCAGAACATGCCTCCCTCGTCATTGGGATAGTGCACGAGTACTTGGGGTTCTGGGATGTCGAACGTGTCCATTGTGAGAGCCGATGGTCACTGAAGAAGTCGAGTCCGACGAGCTACCAAGCACCTCACGAATGCGGCTGAGCAATCCTCGTAGGACTCCAAGGTCCAGCACTGCGGCCCAACTCACTACCACGCCGATGAGGACGCCCACCGTCAGCCAGAAAGCCCAGGCGCACGGGGCCGCTGGGGTCGTCGACGGGCACTCAGTCACCTCGGGCTGCCTTCCGCAGCTCAGAGCGGGGCAACTTGGACAGGGCGGACACGATCCGCAAGTGACTGCGGCTGACGCGGGGCAGGCTGGCACCGCGGGACAAGGGGGAGCTGCGGGGCACCTGCTGAGGTACGATAACAGGCCGTTGACAGCTAAATCTTGGAGACGCTGCTGCCACATCGGCCCTCAAGACTTGAGCGAAATAGTTACAGACAGGCAAGCTGACAGCGGCGGGCCTCAACGAAGCGAAAGATATAACAATCAAAAATTAAAAATCAACCTGGTTCTGGTTCCGGTTCTGGTTATGGTTCCGTTTCCGGTTCGCTTCCAGACGGGAAAGGAGGGAGGTGCGTTCCGGTTCCGGTTCTATTTCCGGGCTTCCAGCCGGGCGTGACGTCGGTGAACTGGAACTGGAACTGGAACTGGAACTGTTCCGGTTCGCCTCCAGCCAAGAAGGGCGGGTGCGTTCTGGTTCAGGTTCCGGCTCCGGGTTTCCAGCCTGGCGCGAGGTCGGTGAATTGAAATGGAACTGGGAATGCGCCATTCGCCATTCGGCTCCAGGTCTGGCACTGGAACTGAAACTGGAACTGGAACTGGAACTGTCCGGTTCCGGTTCCGATTCTGGTTCCGGTTCCGGTTCCGGTTCTGGATTCGGCTGCGGGTCCGGCAGAGGAACTGGAACTGGAACATGAATTTGAACTGGCACTGATCCGATTGAGGTTCCGGTTCCAGTTCTGGTTCCAATTCTGATCCTCGGTTCCGGTTCCGGTTCCGCTTATCGGCTCCGGGTCTGGCACTGGAACTGGAACTGGAACTGGAACTGGAACTGGAACTGGAACTGTTCAATTTCGCCTCCAGCCGAAGAGGGGGGGTGCGTTCCGGCTCCGGTTCTGGTTTCGGGCTTCCAGCGGGCGTGAGGTCGGTGAACTGGAACTGGAACTGGAACTGTTCCGGTCCCTTTCTGGTTCCCGTTCCAATTCACCTCCAGCCGGGAGGGGGAGGGGTGCGTTCCAGATCCGGTTCTGGTTCCCGGCTTCCGGCCAGGCGCGAAGTCGGCGAACTGGAACCGAAACTGGACTGGAACTGGAACTGTTCTGGTTCCAGTTCCGGTTCCTGTTCCGGCTCCGGCTCTGGTTCCAGGCTCTGGTTCGCCTCCAGCCGGGAGGAGGAGGGGCTCCGTTTCCAAATTCGGTTCTGGGTTCCCAACCGAGGTCGGCGAACTGGAGCTGGAACTGAAACTGTTACGGTTCTGGTTCCGGTTCCAATTTGCCTCCAGCCGCGAGGGGGGGGGGTGCGTCCCGGGTCTGGTTGCTGTTCCAGGTTTCCAGCCAGGCGTGAGGTCGGCGAACTGCAACTGGAACTGGAACTGGTGGACCTGTTCCAATTCCGGTTCCGGTTCACCACCAGCCGGGAAGGGGGGGTGCATTCCGGTTCCAGGCTTCCAACCGGGCTTGACGTCGGTACTGGAACTGGAAGTTCCGGTCCTGGTTCCGGTTCCGGTTCCAGTTCTGGCTCCAATTCCGGTCCGGTTTCGCCGTTCGTGGAACTGGAACTGGAACTGTTCTGGTTATGGTCCCAATTCTGGCTCTGGATTCGGCTCCGGGTCTGGAACTGGAACTGGAACTGGAACTGGAACTGTTCCAATTCCGTTCCCGGCTCTGGTTCCACATCCGGTTCTGGTTCTCCGGTTCCGGTTCTAGTTCTCGACTCGGCACCAGGTCCGGCACTGGGAAGGGAACTGGAACTGGAACTGTTCCAGTTCCGGTTCGCCTCCAGCCGCGAAAAGGGAGGGGCGCGTTCCGGTTCCGGTTCCAGGCTTCCCGCCAGGCGTGCGCTCGGCGAACTGGAACTGAAACTGGACTGGAACTGGAACTGGAACTGTTATGGTTCCGGTTCCAGTTCCATTTCCGGTTCCGGTTCCGGTTCTGGTTCTGGTTCAGGTTCCAGCTCGCCTCCAGCTGGGAGGGGGAGGGGCGCGTTCCGCGTCCAAATCCGGTTCCGGGATTCCCGCCAAGCGCGAGGTCGATGAACTAGAACTGCAACTGGAACTGCTCCGGTTCTAGTTCCGGCTCCAGTTCTGGTTCGCCTCCAGCCGGGACGGCGCCAGATCGCCCGCGAGGATCGGGCGGAGGCGCGCGAGACCCAGGCGGCCGAGGCCGCGGAATGGGCCGACAAGCTCGCCGCGGCCAGCTGCGCCCCCCCCCCCGCCCCGCGAGGACCAGATCAGCGGCGACCAGCCGGGGCGCCCGAGGGGCAACCGCCCGCAGGCGCGCGACATGGACGCGATGGCGGCCCCAATACAACGACGCCCGCGCAGTCGGCAGGCGGGCGCAGGCGCCCGACGGCGAGAAGGTCGCGCCCGCGCCCGCGGCGCCACCCCGTGAGACACGGGAAAAACACAGGCCCCCCCGCGAAACCTCGCGACGCGGTCGGCGCCCATCTCCTCGCGGGCCAGAGCCGCCCGCCAGAACCGCGACTCGTTTATCCCGCGCGCCTCACGTTCCATGACGGGGAAGGCCTGTCCTGCCACACCGCCCCCCGCGCCGACCAGCTCCCCTCGGTCGCCCCTACGCCAGCGGACTGCGCGCCCCCAGAGTTGCCGCCTGCGCGCAGAGGGCGCCCCTTCGCAAAGCTCGGCAACGCCCCGCGTGGAATCCGCAAATTCACGCGCGCCATGGGCGGCGAGCTCGCCAACGACGAACAGGGTTTCGCCCTCCGAAAACTGGATTTCAAGGCCGGCGGCGACGTTCACGAAAGCCGCCGAAGGAGTTCCCCCCCGAGCGGCCGTCGAGGGAGGCAAAGCCAGCACGAGGCGGAGAGCGGGGCGCCGATGAGAACGCCAAGAATGTTTTATAACAGTTGGCGAAGGCGCACCTGGACGCGCGAGGGGTGAACGCGCTGCACTTTAAACAAATACCATACAACGCCCTTCACGGGGTAGAGACCACTTGGACCAATTCTACTTGCCGGGGCGTCACGCTGCCACTATGTTGGCGTGGCTTTGTCGTTCCACTGTTCCTGTTCATGCGTTGCGTGGCCCATGAATCCGCATGCATGCCTGATTGTTGTCTAACAGAAACGCGACGAAAAATCATGCACAACGCATGAACAATAAATGAGTAAATATTGTCGCATTAGACTTGACAGCCTCGCCGCCCCAGCAGGATTTGTTGCGCGCTGCGTGCGCGCGCGGCCTGCAGGACGCGCGCGCGGCGTTGTCGGGGCGTCTGCTGTCGAAGATGCGAACGGAAAAATCAAACACACATGATGACACGACGTAGTATTGCTGTCAGGGATTACTTCGCCTCGCCGCGCAATAGAATTTGGCGCGATCTGCACGCGCGCGCGACTGGCACGAAACGTTGCGTCGCTCACGTTGTGTTCGGCGTGAAAACAAAAACCCTGATAATAAATTTCAAAAGCGCGTAAGGATACGAGGTACTATTATTCTCTGAGTTTTGTTTTACCCTTTTTGCCATTTCGCTGGGAATTGCTATACATTGCACACGCGTGCATTTCGCACGAAAAGTCGCTGCGTCTTGCGCGTCGCGCGCAAATCAGAAATGGTCAGGTAGATCATCCAAAACAAGAGAACCCACAGAGTAATATGGTTTGCAGAGTCTGCACCTTATTGCAGTCTCAGTAAGTTGCGCTATACTTTGCACAGGTGCGCATTGTGCACGAAAGGTTGCTGTTTCTCTCGGTTCACGCGCAAAACAGGAATGGCCCGACAATTCATCCAAACAGAAGAATCCGTAACATCATACTGTCTTCCGAGTTTTTACCCTTGAGCCGTTTCATTGAGATTCGCTGTACTTTGCATACGTGCGCATCCTGCACGAAACGTGCTTGCTTCTCTCGGGTCGTTTGGCTTTCAACAAACATGAACCAACAGACTCCGACGATGGCATAGATGCACGAAGGAATACAGAGGGAATGAAGCGCGACACAGCGCCCGCGCCGCGCACAAAGACATGCGGCATCAAACGTTTGGGGGGGGCGCGTTTGTCTTTCCAGAAGAATCGCGCCGAGCAGCTGGGCGCTCTAGCAAGCGCTACCGAACGCAGCAGCGATCTCCTCTTTGATTGCGCGGTTGGGAGGCAGGTACCAGGGAGCGGGCCTGGTGAGACCTCCAGAACGCCCCTGGCGCGTCCTCAACCCTCTGGGGTGTCCTCAGCGCTCTGGAGAATTCTGGGTCGTTCAAGATGCTCCGGGGGCCTCCCGGGTTCTCCCGGGGCGTCGTGGGACCTCGCGGGGCATCCTGGGACCTCCTGGAGCGTCCTGGAGCCTCCTGGGCTTTGCCATAGACTCCGGGGACGTCCTGAAGCCTCCCGGAGCTTCCCGGCGCCTCCCGAGGCCTCCTGGAGCCTCCCGGCGGCCCCCTAAGAAGCCACGCGCGGGGCACTAAAGCGACGACAGTTTCATTACCGGGGGCCATCCCGTCGAGAGAGAGGACGCAGTAAAAGTTTACTGGAGCGCCCTGGGGCCTCCTGGCCATTCCCATAGCCTCCCAGGACGTCCTGATGTCTCAAGGAACTCCCTGGGGCCTCCCGAGGCCTCCTGGAGCCTCCTGGCGGCTCTCTCAAAAGCCACGCGCGGGGCCTTAAAAGCGACGACAGTTTCAAGGGTGGGGGCCATCCCGCTAGAGAGAGGGCGCAGCGAATGTTGTCAACGCGGCGACGGCGTCGCGCTTGAAGCCCAGAACCGTCTTTGGGCACCTGCCCCCTTTGCTCATCATCCTGGCCCTCCTCCTCGTCATCCTCCTCTTCGCCATCCTCCTCCTCGTCCTTCTCCCCCTCCTTCTACCCCCCCTCCTCCTTCATCCTCCCCCCCCCCCCCTCCTCCTCCGCGTCGCCCTCCGCCTCCGCCCCCCCATCCCTACCTCGGGCGCGATGGACCACGGGACCCCACGGAGCCCCCTAAAATCCCCGGGGCCTCCTGGGACAGCAACCTCTGGAGACTAACCTCTTGAAACCTCTGGGGCTCTCCAAATTGAAATACCCCGAGCCCTCCAGGGGCGTCCCAGGCGTTCTTGGACTGTCTGGGTCGTTCAGAATACGCCCGGAGAGTCGCGGGACCCCCCGAGGCCTCGCGGGGCCTCGCGGGGTACCCTGGGACCTCCTGGAGCGTCCTGGAGCCTCCTGGGGATCCCCAAGGCCTCCTGGGGCGTCCTGAAATCTCTTGGAGCTTCCTGGGGCCTCCTGAAGCCACCTGGAACCCCCTGGCGGCTCTCTAAGAAGCCACGCGCGGGGCCTCAAAATTAACGACACTTCCAAGGATGGGAGCCTTCCCGTTGAGAGAGAGCGCGCGGTGGACGTTGAAAAATGACGACAATGTCACACTTGAGGCCCGGAGCCGTGCCGGGCGCACCCCGGCGCGAATCCCGGCCCCGCATAGCACGGCGCGATTCGCCCCCTCCCCGTTGCCCCGCCAGCCCCCCGGAGGGCTTAGCGCTTCAAAATAAATCGAACGCTGCCCCCCGAAACACCGCCCAACAAAACTGACAAATTACCTTGAAAATTAAGCGCGCAAGAGCAACAGGGAATCCATCCACTCCGCCGGAGCCATCAACTACCGATGAAACCTGGAGCCGCGAAGAAGCCAACTAACAACAAAGTGGAGCAATTAGCAGCCTCACATACGCACTAGAATCAACGATCGCAAAACCTCGCAAACAAACAAAAGAGAAGCAAAGCAAATCTGATAGTTCAACCAGGGTTTGCTGGTTCTGCACTGCACCCGCAGGTTCTGCATCCGGCCCATGGGAATCGGCTTGCGGCGCGCACTGCGGCGCCAAGAGGAAGTCGGCCGTTGCGAGGGCCACGCAGTGCCAGTTCGGCGCCGTAGCCAGCATTTGGCGCAGTTCGGCGCCGTTACCAGCATTTGGCGCCCAGAGCAAAGTCCCAGGACCTGGTCCAACACGCATTCTCATTAACTATCAACAGCCCAATGAGTCCCGTTCTGGCTGGGCATCTCCCTCACATTCCACCCTGGCTCTGGCGCTAGCAAAGCGAGGGCGCACAACGCCAGCTCTGCCGGCATCTCGTCTTCGTCTCGGCTGCCTGTGCCCATCAAGAAAAATGCATGAGTGGGTGGCGTGATAGCAACGCCCACGCCGGCAGGCCTGGGCGGACTGATGAATTGCCAGACCACATCACAGACCGAGTAGCGCCCCAGACTGCCGGCGACCCGCTCGCGCCCAAACAGGCGCCGGCCGAATCCAGATTGGCGCGCCGCGCTGGCATGTCGCACGGGGCGGCATACGGCCCACCCATTGCAGATAGCACGCAGGCGAGCAGCTGCCACCCGGGACGGGCACCACGCGTGCATGAGCGCAAGATCTAAATAGATTATCGCCGAATTGTCTGCGGCATTGCCTGGACAGCCCCAACTTGCAACTGTGCTCTGTTGTCGCTGATTTCGGCTGCCGCGTTTGGCCCTAATCAATGGGACAGCCGTCGCCTGGAAGGACCGCCTGGCGCATATCGAGGCAGACGAAGAAATGCCCCGTTGAACCGCGGCGCGGCGGATGCCCACGCGGTTCAAATGCTCCTCTGCGCGAGGCAAGATTCCAAAGTAAGAGTTTTGATGCCAGTTCCCAAACGGCCCCTGGAGCACGGCATCGTCGAGACATGCGAGCTCTGCACCACGATCTCTGCAATCCGGAGCAACGGTCTGCATCGCCCTGAGCTTCGCGGCTAAAGCGACGCACACCAGGTTTGCAATGGAACATGGGAAGCCAAATTCCCCCTTCAATGAGCACAGGTCGGCAGGCGTAGCCCAATTGCCAGGGCCGGGCACCAGGCGCCTCAGAGCCCATGCAAATTTACCCTGAAAAAACCGCCGACAAATCCTCCAATTTCGTCACAAAAGAGAGAACTGAGCACACGAAAACATTGAACGCAATTGCTGCTCACAACAGTCCCAGATGGCTCAGCCCACAGCAATACCCGCTTCTAGAATTTCTCCCATGGTTTTGTCCACGACTGACCACCAGCACTGGGGCCAATCCAGAAGCCCAGATACTTGCCCTGCGCCGCGATGATGATGCCCCGCCAACTGCGCGCCAGCCCTGCAATAATGTCGCGTAGGCCCCGTCCGGAGCTTCATTTCCAAAGCGGAATGAATACCGTTTTCTTGATGTTCAGGGCTAGACAAGATATTGATTCGAACTCAAGACATAGCGTGGCGAATGCTGGGATGACTATGACGACGTCGTTCACTGCGGCAGCCGCGTCGTCGGCGAAAGCACGGACAAGTTCGCGATGGCGAAGTGCTCTCGCGTAGAAGAATATCTGCGAATATTGCTAGAAGCAAACGACACTGATGCTGTCCAGATACTCGCTCGCAATCTTAATATTGCGCGCGTTCCCGGCCTAGAACATCTGCAGCATCCGGACAGACTGGGTCGGGATACCGATGCCTGCGAGGACGCCCCACATAAATACATGTTCCATGGTAGGACAAGCAGCTTGAAGACCAAACAGAAGAATTGCTCCCATGGGCCACGTCACGGAGATTTTGCGAGCCGCAAGATCCACATCCAGCACGTTGCGCATCATTTGCCGCCCTTGGATGCATCACCTCTGAGGCGCGGAAACCCAGCTCGCCGCCGACCTCTCCAAAGTTACTCTGGAAATAGAAGCGAAAATGCGGTTGCTGGCGTCGACGATGGACAACGGGCGGGCGTTGCCAGGGCCGTAAAACTCCTTGCCCGTCGCCGAACGCAACCCCGGACCTTTCGGCAGGCATGCCAAATAAGCCAAATTCAAATCCTCCAGCGGCGTAGCTTCTCCTCGCAACATGAACAAACTCAAATCCAGGAACAGCGAGGCCAGCATGCCACGAAGCATCGAAAATAGAGCGAAAGGAATGTCGTCAGGACCTGGAGTCGAGCTCGGAAGACTTGCCAAAATGCCCTCAACATCCTCGATTGTGGGTGTCTGGTCTTCTATGGTGACGAGTAAACTGCCTCTCACTTCATCTACCCATCGCTCTCTCCACTGCCCGTCCGCCCTCTGCACCCCGAAAATATGTTGCCAGTGTTCCGTCAGAAAGGAAGCTACCTCTCGGGGTTCAGTGGCGCCCCAGCCTGCGGCAGGATCTCTGACTGCTTGCACAGACTCGGCTGATCCTGGCGCAAGTCTGGAAAAAGGAGGAACGATGTTCGACACGCGCTGCTTGTAGACCTCCTTGGGAAGATGGTCGCGTTGGCAGCGTAGCTCCCCCAGCCGATCGTTCGCGACGGCATGGGCAAGCTCCAAGGCGCGATCTGATCGGAACTCCGTGGGCCTGCGCGCGAACAGTGGCAGGTGCACCACGTTTCCGGTCAATGCAGCTTTCGTAAACGCGGCAGACAACTGGCCCTCGTTGCTCTCAACGATCCGCACACGATGTCTCTCCAAGCAGAAGTCTCGGCTCTGGTTCGATGGGCAATTCGTTTGATTTCTGATTGTATGCTAAAAAACGACGCGCTCGCACTTACCAATCACGGCGCAACCCGGAAATCACCTTGCCCCAGAAGGCCAGCTCGCCAAAAATCCAAAATGGGAATGACCCGCGCGCTCCCCGACTGCGGGCCGGAAACCAACAGCAACCGGCTCGTGGTCGGATAGCGCCGAAGGGATGTCCAATGCGTAGCAGAAGGAATCAACGACGAACACACTGCCGGGGTGGGCGTCGTAGCCCACCCTGTCCAGCCGAGGTAGTTCTGGGGTGCTCTCGAAAGCGAAGTTCCCCTGCCCCCATTCCAACGCGCCCTCATTTCCCAAGCAGGCCGCCCACTCTGCAAGAACATTGCGGTCTGCACTCCAATTCCCGCTGCTCTCGTTGTAGCGGCCACAAATGCAGGATACAGAATTCCAATCTCCAATCAGAAGGTCATGAGCTCCAGCGCGCATGTGCGTTGCAATCAACTTTGCAAGAAAAATCTGCCTCGCAGTATTGCTGGTCCCAAAAAGCAACCCGACCGGCATCCAGCACTTTGCAGGAACGCTCCTCACAATCGTACGCGAACGTTCTGTAACAGGAGGATCACTCCCCTGGATCGTGCGCCAACGCAAGAGCTGAAGTAAAGACTGTCGCTTCTGATATGGTCCTGGACCGTCGCTTTCCTCTCCTCTGTCTCGGTCTCTCTGATACTGACAAAATCGCACCGCTCCAAAAGAGAGTCAACGCACCGGATTCTCGGAGACAGACCGTTAGCATGCAAAGATCTCGCATTCCAAACCACACCAGATAATTGGTTTGAAAAAGGCGCGCACCTGGCGCGGGGCGCCGGCGAAGGCCAGGACGAACTGGACCTGGAAGAATTTGGCAAGGAACTCGAAGATGAGCCTGCCGCAGAAGGGCGATCGCGGGAAAATGCCTTCTGGTGGCCTGGTCTGCAGGAACGGGTACTTTTCACTCTCGGGGATTCCTGGCAAATCCCGACTCGCCCTCCTCCACCACCCGCCGCCCTCTCCGAACATCAAACCATTTGTGATTATGATGCGTTTTAGCGCAATGGCAAAAAGGAGCCCCTAGAGGTCAAACGGCAGCGAGTGGCGCGCACACACACGCGACAAATGCTCTATCTCACGCCCGTGAAACTTTATCACGCGCTAGCCGGCAGACCGCGCAGCACCGCTGGTCTCAACAAGCTTCTAGGAGGCAGTAACGGGAGTACTCCCATCTTGGGATCATTCAAGTCAAAGGCAGCCAAGCCAGGACTCAGTCACTCCCTTCCCTTATGAGACAGCATTCACTCTAGCCCTCGCCGATTGTTTCTTCACCTTCTTTCATGTAGATTCAGGGTCTGGAAATACGTCATACAAACTTGCACGCAAGATCTCAACGAGGAAAATCCGCCGGCATATTCTTCGCCAGACAATGAGGAGCAATAATACTTTCATCAATCCATCGGGTCTTATCACAAAATATGCGCGGGTGTAAAAACTCTACTTCTCCCGTACCATATGTCCGAATATCCTGCCTTAAACGACCCAACTCGAGACATAAATATTATCTTCTATCTTACCCATAGTTGGTGCTATGGGATGTTCCTCAAGGCTTCTGCAATCTGTCATCCATAAGTGTCTCATAGACATTGCTGATTTGTCTTCCCAGTTGGTCGGCAGTTCTTTCCGGCGCCGAGCATTCCACGCGCGTCTGCGATGGCGGCGCGAATGCGCGAACCAGGTTCTACACTCCATAAACAAGCCAGAGTGTCTGCTTGCAGTGTAGATTTACATACTCGTTTGATAATTTAACTAAGTATACATATGGGGTGAACACGACCACTGTTCCCCTCGATGAATCCAGGCCCTGCGAGTCCATTGAACCGAGCCCTCTGTGACCTGAGAGGCTCGATTCTACCCTTGCCCATGCCCTCTTCTCCTGCCCGGCTGGCGTCAGTAACAATAAGAACTACCATATATTGATTCCACTTAACTTAGCGCGACGCACTTCTCTGCAGTCTGCTCACACGATACAGTAGCTCAGGCTTACACTGTCGTGCAACCCATGACAAAGCACCCACGACGGATCTAAGCTGCGCTGTCTCGCCCCCATTGAATTTTCTCGCGAGGGGACCGTTTCTAAGATAGGACACAGCCCCGATCTTCTCAATATTGCCCTTCGCCGTGATACCCACCGCGAAATCTTCATCCTGCACCACTTCCACACCGCAGTAACGGAAAGTATCCGACTTGATCGCACGAATGGCAAACTCTGCTAATACCGAATCGATAATAATTCTCTGACGTTCATCATCTGCGGTCCACAGTATGTCATCCACATGTGTACCTAACACACACGTGATCTCATTCTTGTCATTGTGATCACTGAATAAAGCAGGCATGATACGATTCTTCTTTAGACCATGAGCTTCAAACCTTGTGCGATATTTGTCCACCAACCTCGTCCTGCGCCACGCGTGCCAGACGGGCACACGCGCGATCAGAGCTCCACCATCTGGTGCTCCTTCGATTTCGTCGGGCGGCGGCTTGAGCAGCATGACGCGGCCAAGTTCCTGCCCCTGGAAGCACGCAGATGCAATGTCAGCACACTTGAGCGTCTTCTTTGCGCCAGCAGCCCATGATACTATCAACCTTAGCCCTTCTAGTTCGCATATTGGTGCATCCGTGCGGATACCCAACGACTCTTCCAAATCTCCATGCAGGACCAGTCTACTCTTGTACTGCGGTGCAACCGAAGGTCCACCCAGTCTACGGAGATGTTTATTCTTGTCAGCCTCAATCCATTGCGTAGGTACCATGCGGCATCCTTCGTCGAAGAGATTTTGCAGTTCCACCGAATCAGTAGGCACGGCGGCGTGGAACTTCCGCCATTTTCCCCATTCGTCTTGTCTTGCCAGGCGTAAGCCGCTTTAACGTCCTCAGATTCTCGATGATATACCAAATCCTTTGCACTCTGTATATTATTCTTGGGTTGCGGCTTATGAACGGTGCGTTCATTGAAGAATTCGACAAGCGATTCATGTGGCTTAACAGCGAGTGAAGCCTCTCTACAAGATGAAGATCCATGCCCGGCCCTGACGTTCCAGCCCTGCGCTTGGCCTCAAGAAATGGGTTCGCTGGATCGGGAGCTGGCTCCGAGACAGAATAGGCAACCCTTCCCGTGCTACCATCGGCATTCTCGACTCTTCTGCGCATCACTTCGTTAAGACTCTGCATACCGTTCAGGGCGTCGTCTAGTTACGATCTCTTTCCATCAGACAGTTCATCTTCTTCCATCTGGCGAAATGCTTCTGCAATGGAATCGGGGTCTTCTGGGATCCCTGGCAGCCCTTCCGTCGCCATAGGAAGTTCTTGCACGGAATGTGATTGCGCCCGTGATTCTGGCAGCTCACGTCCTTCGCCCACAAATCACTGCTGTTGCCCGTCTGGAGGTGCATATCTTTCAACCCCACCGCCATGGCGCTTAGAAAAATATTGGTATGCCAACGCTTCCGCCGCAGTACACGGTCGAAGCCTGTCGACAGCCACGCAGACAGGCACACCCTCTGCGATAACCCATGCGTTCTTGCCATTGAATCCAACGGCACGAGAACCAGTGCTCCACCTGCGGTAAACTCGCCGTTGGTCGGTCTCTTGCGAAAGCATGCTATGTCACCTACCTGATAATATCCAGCTAGCGGCGTTGCCTTTCGGAGAGCAGCCCTCGCCGCCCCACTCCCGACGTCGCGTTCTGCGAATGCTTTCCTGGCAGACGCCCGGATCGCGGCCTGGCGAGAAAACTCGTCGGCTCCGTCCTCTGCAACATTCGCAAGCAAACCTATGTCGAAAGCTTCCTCGTCGTCGAATTGACTACGCGGGACACGAGGCATCTTTCCAAGTACCCACTGAGCAGGCGCAAATCCGCCGGCTCGTGACATCTCATTGTTCGCGTTGACAATTTCTGACGCAGTCGAGATGAATTCATCGAGTCCGGTAACATTCTTGTCGCGCACCACCTTCTTGAAGGTGTTCTTCCAAAGTCCACCACGTCTCTCGGCGCGGCCCATCTGCTCGGGAGACTCGACTCCGGCGTCGCAGAGGTAGATCCCTTGACCCTTGACCCATTGCAGAAACATTCCTCTGTCGTGCAGCCCACGGTCTAACACCACTCGTTTGGGCCCACCTGCCCACGCACACCAGCGCTGCTGAAGCGCAGCGAGGCGCGCTCTCGTAGATGGCGCACCAACTCCCTGCATGACAAAGATCACACGCTGAAATGTTGCACCCTGGCACGCTATGTTCAGGAAGGTGCAACGTTCTCCACTGTTGTCCTTTACCTCTAGACAGTCGATGCCGACTTCGTGGTTGAAGCTGAACTTCTTGGGCAAGGCAACCTTGTGAGTCTGAGCTAACGGCTTGTGATGTTCGCAAGATTCATATCGCTAATTCCTGGCACCTCCAATGTAGTCTGAAGACAATCTGGAGATTCTCAACGGCAGCACGAGACCACGACTAGGCACCAGACCAAACTGTCTGCGCAGTCATCTAGTGGCGACCCCTGTGCGGAGCGGGATTTGCAACCACGCTTTCCTTCCCTTTCCTTCGCGTTTCGGCTCGCCAGGTAAGTTGATTTGAACCGGGATATATTGTTCTTCACATCGCCGGCGTTCCTCGGAGACGGCAGCGACGTCGCCATCACCGACGATCGCGCCCACATCGTCTCGAACTCTCTCCTCTGCGGCTTCAGCGGGGAAAGCTGCGAGCACAAGTCTATCCAGTCTAATTGTCTGACCTACCTCTCTGAAGGAAACAAAAGATTTCTGACTCGCGATGTCTGCATCTGACTCGAGGTAC